CATTGCAGTTCTCTCAATCCAGTCACACAGCTGTCACATGGTCGTGGAAAGTAGAATATATGAAGCAGTTACAGGTTTTTGACCACAGATGTCTTGATAACATTTCTCACGCATACTGAAGTCATCACGTAAGTAATGTTGAGGTCAGACGACAGGTATCGGGCGAGGGAGAGAACTTAGTAGATGAGGCTGTGAACCTCCACTGACTAAAGTGGTTAAGATATGTGTGTTGCGCATGCTGAGCCATCACCTAACTCGATGTGCAATGTTAGGCGAAGTGGGATTAAGTTGGAAGAAGGTTCAGAGTGGTCAGAGTAAGGTGTGACACCAGTGTATGCAGTCTCTAACTGTCGGTTTGAGTTGTGTAGGGAGGTCCCTGAGACGATAAGAATCAATGGTTGAAGGCTTCGTGACATAGCTGACAATCGGTCACAATGGTAAAATGTATTCACTCTTTGACGTCTTCTAAATTTTGAATAGTTCTGCTAACCTTTGTGACCAAATTCCCTCTGCTTCCACACACCTTTGTCCACTTTGATAGCAGTCTTTTTCTGTTTACTTGTTCTTTGCATGATATTGTAAAGTTGCCACGTTACAACTAGGACTGATGTGGCTCCGTGTGAGGTTCTACTTTATGTTTGTCGCTCGTTACACTGAAGGACCTGCATCATTCCAGAACTAGTCACTGACATTTTCGCGTGCCATTCGTTTGTGCGTGGAGGAAGCGAGTCACTGATCATATCGAGCTTTGTAAAATAAAACGCAGTTACAAGATCGTTAAGACTTACTAATTGGGGTAAGTACTTAGGGTTTGTCACGTCTTGACGTCGATACTTGGAGACTGGCTCCATGAGTGATGGCCCATGCCTTGATGCATAGTGTGTAGCATACTACACTTTAAATGAGTGCACACCCTAAAGTAGTCAGTAACACTGTTATCAAAATATCTGCCTGACTTAATGATGCTGAGTTTTCACCAGTTAACATTAAAGCCTCCTACAGCCCGGCCTCTATCACTAGTATCAAATTTCCTAATATAATTTGGCATGAAGTAAAAGGCAAGGCAATTCAAACTACGGTAAATTACTCTTATTGTTATAACACCCTACTTTGACCTGATTCCATAAGTAATACTCGCACGTGCCTCTCTGATGGGCTTCTGAAGTCCCCGGGCGTATCCACTGGTTCTCATGGATATGCATGATTATATCCTCAACTTCACGATCCGTGACAATCCACCTTAATATGTAGAGAGATATCCACATTCACAACTTACCACGTTTTAACAATCACAATTACATGTAGCTTCAAGCAGTCAACTAGATCATCCAGCTCGTATATCTTATTTCTGATATTGCGACCAAACCAGCTCCTCAACCTCTGCCTACGCCCCTATGTATTACAGTCTGGACAATTCAAAGTATGGGTTTTACCGAAAGTTGTCAGTTTTGTTTCTTAAAGCAAAACGTTCAGATATAGTCATCCTTCTGTGTGCTCATTTAGAGAAGCTGAGGTAATCGGAAAGGCAGCTGTGAGGTATCTACGGTATTTTATGCCAACAAACCGACACTACAGGTCTACAATATCATTCTCACAGTTACTTAGTCATACCATGCAATAACCTTAAGGGTAAGAGGAGATAATATCTGATTTGGCATCCGTTGACATCAAGCCAACAATGGAAACGAATGCATCTTATTGTGATAAATGGTCGTCAAAAAGAATCGTTGGAGGATTGCAGGCTTTTTTTGGTGTATGTGCTTGGAATCCGAACATGCGTTAATTCGAATACATACGTGTTCTCATCTATGTCTAAGACGGCAACAAACAATTTTGAGGCCTATGATAGGTTTGGTAAATACATCGTGTTTATTTAAGGAGAAGCTAGCTAAGTACTTATTTGAATATAGAAAAACTTTCATCCGGATAAAGCTTGACTTTACTGCTACAAAGGCAACAACGACAGTAAGTAATATACATTTAAGTGTTCATAAGATCCATTGGCTTACTCCAACCTAATCCAAGCTGGTTGGTGTTAGAAGACTTATTCTAGCTGGATCTGATCACAGTGAATAGAGAAAGGAGCTCAAATATAGTTAATCAGTTAATACTAGCCTGAAAATTGACATCAATCTGTGGTGGTCCATGTTGTCACATCACACCAGTACCCCAATGGTGCAAGGTAGTCAAATGAAGAATCAAAGATGTAACTGTATGTCGTAAAATGAGAGGTAGTGAGGTTAAAATTATATCGGAATTCGATGCAACGATAAGGACTGCAGTTATATGTGAATATATTTGCACCACTGAGTTAGATTCTAAGGCATATCACCTACAGTCTCCAATCGCCGGTTTCGGTTGTCACATGGACTGCAATCTGGAATTCTACATTACCATACTTGGCTCAAGCCAACAGTCAGCAACTTCATGGACTGATTCCACATTTTATTCTAATCGACATTTACCTTCTCCCGGCCTAAATTCATTTAGGTTGACATTGTGTGATTGTACAGACGTTGACTAGTCATGTGTAACATGTCTTGGCTTCAGTGTAATTTTTGGATCTGTTTCGAGATTCTGTTAGTCTGGCTAACCTAGCTCCTTAAACAAGTGAGGTGATCAACACGCTCAACCACTTCACATCCTGTTGGAAGTCCAGTTCTTGGCAACAGTTTGCATTTGCGTGGTAATAAGCGCATCCCAAACATTCTTAGATTGTCTTTCAAGGTGCCCAAAAGACTTTGTATCTCGTTATCGTCTTCACCTAAAAGTATTATATCATGTGCGTGCTCCACGTCTACTAAGGAGTCTCCTGTTATTAGGTCAAAAGCTGTAGAGTCAAATGGAGTGTATGCTAAAGTTATATAAACACTGGAGGGATTAATTATTCCTAGTGGACACCGCACGACATATGAAACTCACCTGATACCTCATCATAGGCTCTAACATGCTCACGGCTGCTGAAGTACAACCTTCAAAAAGGTAATGTACTAACCAGGCACTACTTTCAGTGAGAGACATTACTATAAGTTCTCTCGATCTACGGCGTTCAATGTCGCCTTTAGTTAGAGAAATGGAACTGGTTTCGGGTGCGGATAGTGTGCCTTATTTTCAAAACTTGACGGAAGGTGAAATTCAATCGATATGCTAATGACTAGGTCTGAAGCGTGCCTGGTTTCCTTGGGTTCGCTTTTCCCTAGCTTTGTTTGGGTGTCTAATAATCATCAAACCGATTCCTCTCTGTTTGTCACCGAAAGAATATCCATTTATTTAAACTGGAATGATCAGCCATCTAGACCAGTCTCACAGGGTTACCTGTTATTCTTATACACTACCTGGTACTAAAGTTGCTGCAGTAGGTTTTTTTCTTCTTCGATCGTAAACACATTTTAATACCGTACGGTCAGGTCCTGGCTTCGTGCATCGTTTAATATTCCAAGCAGCCTTATTAACTTTGGTGTGAGTTGAACGATTGACATCTACATCCCACTTAGTCAAGGAGGATTGTGGCATGTTTAAAGCTAGTTTATTCCAATTTTTCTTTCCAATAAGAAAAAGCAACACCAGCTTGCAAAGCCGATGATTTGCGGGGAATATTTTACTGTTGTCACATCCCATGCACCCAACAGTATGACTTCGCCTTCAGGCCATCATAGCATAGACTATTTACAGTATGACAGTAACTACTTTCAGTCTTACCACCATTCAAACAAACTTTTCTAGCAGAGTAGGACCTCAGCAAACACATTTTTCAGCCAAAGCAACTCGTTGAACTGTTGTGACATGCAAACCTTACCATCATGTCAAGGTTAGTGGCTACTGGTCAGGTATCCTTATTATAAAACTATAAGACATCGTTGTTGAAAGTGGGAGACATTTCGGAGGGCTACCGGTTTTCGACTGCAGATCTCTTCGTAGCATCACCCGTGTGCAGTGAGGACCGCATGAGCAGTGGTTAGATTAAGCGTAGCGTGAAAGGCAAGTCAATCTGTGTGTGCAATGTTCTTCAAAGTTCGATTGGATTGGAAAAATGTTAGGATTGCCAAGACGCCATAATTTGACCTCTCCATAAAGTTGACTTCGTGACACTTATTTAGTTACACTGTGAAATTCGAGCTCACCTTATTTCTCTCATGACCCGATATTACCCCGCGTAAATGTTAATCTGGGAGTCAGCACTAAGTACCCAGTCAAAAGTTTTCTTGGGTCACCTTTGTCTAATTAGAGCCAGCAACATTCCTGTGGTTAGACACATAATCAAGGTACTATTGTGTTGACTGACATTTAATCCTACGTTAATCCAACGTTATCTCTAATTCTAAAGCCCACTTTCTGCCATTATTATCTCCTTAGGAGTTGAAGCTGGCTGTCCATAGCTTAAGATACATATTTGTCCTGCGCGAGATGTTCACCAATGTACATCAAATTCTTTCAGCTTATGAAACACTTCATTTGTGTTTAGACTGTTGGCTTGTCATCCTTTTACTGACCGTGAATGACAGAAAAAAGTAACAGCTAGATTATATACAGCTTATTTTACAGGTAATAAGTTCACATTAGTTGCAAAAGTTGGTCAACAATAAACGGGCCTTTTGAAACTATTGACCAACTTTACCCTTGTTGAGCCGTTTCGCTGTATATCTAACTTTCATTCTGTTGTCAAACACCCATTTCTTTTTTGCTGTATTTGTGTTTGTATCTGACACCATTATAGCGATAAACAAGTTTTATGATTGTCTGAGATGTGTACCACTCTACTACTTCATAGGTTGACCTTTGAGGTTAGCGACTTTAAGAGTCTTTCGAAACAACAAGTGTTTTGTTTTAGACATTTGATATGATTGAGAATTGTTGCATAATTCTGTTGCGTTTAAGACAAACAGGACGACATCTAAACTCAAAATGAATTTAAGCAGGTGACAAATGGTATTCGTTTTGTTTATACTTTTTTCTTCAGTTCTAGTTCGAATTTTAAGTGTTTCCTCTGTTTCTTTTTATAGATGAATGGGGACAATGATAGAATGATAGCTCATACACTCATATTATCATCAGTTTCATCTCCATGTGGAAAATTTTTGATTTTTGGGACCAATACACAAAATATACTGATCTATTCGTTATCCTCATTATCTTGTGGTATGTAGGATGGCGTTTACCTTCAATCTAATCTTTCTTCATAGATGCACAAGTTGAAGGGAAACCAGAATGTGTGATCAATGTGAAGTATGCCAAAGCTATTTATTCATTATGCTTTGGGAAAGAGTATGTTTTCTGTGGGTCAGTTGGTTTGATTGTTATCTACAAATGGACTACACCTGACGATGGCTTTTTAAAGTATCACGATACAGTTCATCTAACGTCTTCAGATCTTTACACAACTGTTTCTGAGGTGAGGATTTCAATTCATTTACATGTACTTAGGTTACTAGCTTATGTTTTAACACGGAAACCAATTCTTTGTTAGCTGCATTAGGTGATGGGACCATTCATACTTTCTCTGTTGGTTGTGTTATTAAAGAATACCTAACATTGGTGGCACATAAATCCGCCATATATAAAATTTGTAACGTCGGCTTGCACGAGGTTCGTTTTTCTTCTATATCGAGTCTTTCATTTTTGTAGTTTTGTACTTGTTCGGAGGATGGTACAGTCTGCTTTTGGGATCAAAGAGTATCACGAAATGGAAACTTTAAAGCTTTATCTATATTTAAACCCCATCTAATTGATGAGTTATCGCGACCTAAACTTGGGTCTTGGTTAACGGCATTGTCCTGTAAACAATCTGAAGAAGACTGGTTTGTTACTGGAGGTGGCCCTCGGCTTTCTTTGTGGAGTAGGCGTGCGGGAAGAAATGTCTCTATACTGCATCCTGAAGGTAAGCTGTCCAAATATTGTTAGTCTGACAAATATGATTATTTATATGTAGTAGCTTTAATTGTATAGCCGTGTCCATTTCATGTTTGTTTGGAACTGTGTCCCAATTGAAGTGTAAAGGACTGATGTGTATTGGAAAATCCCCAGTACTTCAATTTTACTGGCTGAACTAACTAATTGATGTTTAAGTCACGTATCTCAACTGACTTTGAATATCGTGATATGGATCGAAAAACTTTATCTAAGTTCTTTCAGTAGCTACTAGCATAGAGGGAAGGGAACTGTGAGCTTCAGTATTAACTAATGATTGAGAATTCTTGAAGCACGCTGGTTGGGAAAAGACAGTTGAAAGGATTACAAACCAGAGTGGCTAGAATGATACACTGTAAACAATAGTTCGAGGGGCGTATGCTAACACTTCAACTACTGATTATTGAGTCTCAACCTACGTTGTAAGTTTTTACTGTCCCTCTAAACTGGGATAAGCTGAAACAGACGCAGGAGAATAGTGTCGTTGATTGTTCAACGTCCAGTTTGATGAGAGAACCAGTCAGGTTTTATTTCCCGTAGAGGGCGTATCCTTCAGAGCTTTACTCTCTACTAGTACTTGCCAGCCCTATACGCTACCCATGTTTCTTGATATGAAGGCAGCATCTGACTTTGTAAATTGAAAGGTTCCGAAACAATATTTAATGAGATTTAGCAGAGTAATTCATTTTCCTTTTTATTCAACTTTGTCATAATTGTATTCAGTTAGATAAAACATTCTACTTTAAAGAATCTTAGGGATTCGACTATTTACCGGATACTGAAAAAAATCCTGTCAGGTGAAGATACTGACAAGGCATAAACTATTCTGAATATTGAGCAGTTCATCAGCATACATAAAGTGCACGTAAAATATTACTACTAATCCGATCTCTATCCGTATCTAGTGTGAAAACAGTGAGCAAATTAGCTGAGGTCATGCACCTTGCTAGAATCATAAGTTCCATCAACCTTAGTGGTGGTCGTTGGTAAATCTATGCAGATACGATAACTTATATTAGATGTGGCAATATATGCCGCATTCCATGCTTATGATATATTCGAATGTGTTTCAATCGTCTTATATGTAGCCCAAAAGTGTACGACTTCATAATAAACGAATGTCAACTGTGGTCTTTGGGAGGATTTAAGACATTGACTTAAATTTACTTTCGTTTCACTGCTTTCTCATATTGGAACCGTCAAGTAGGTAGTGTTCAGGTTAAGCACAAAACCCCAAGCAAAAAGGGGTAGTTTAGTCATCAAAGTAAATACTCATGAACCCCAGTTTTGTTTATTTTAAAGCTCAACGTGCCTTACAGTGCAATGCTGGCTTTGAGTAGATTTAAGACTGATGTATCCTTGATACCAGTAGCGAGCAGTCACTATTAATAGATAAAGTGTTTTTAAGTGAAACATGGTGATGCCGATTCATTCATGATTTATATAGATTTCCATGTCATATGAAACAACTTAGTAATACATCTTTTTATTTCTTATTTCCTGAGTTATTGTTCATATTCATCATGTTTTATTTCAGTTCACTTTTCGTGGCTTCCTAGACTGATTCTAACCAGTCGGTAAGGGACAACAAAAATTTGTCAGAAGTACGTATTTATTCAGGTTGTCGCCTATAACATTGAAACAGTAGAGTTGTGACTCATTGGTTTAGTCACTTAATTTTAAACTGATGGATCACGGGTTCAAACTCATCTTCACCTACCGAGATTTGAGCAGCCTTCACTCAATAGATGTTGCTCATTGCTTACTGGACATAGGTGCACAAAGTTGTTGAATGAATTTCCTTTACGTCGGAGCAGCTAAGCGTAATTAATCACCATGTGTGAAATAAAGAAATGAAAAAATATCTACTAACGGCAGCGAATATACAAAAGATATAGAGACTGCTGACGAGGGTGAACAAAGAGTTTAAACTGGCAAGATGTCAAAGATTTAGGTCCTAGTAAAAGATCAACATATCTATATTACAACGTTGTATTGTAAGCTACCTTACCTGGAGTCTCCAACCATGAGTTTTTATTGTCTTGTCGACCTCAATCAGGAAAATTAAAGTTTTCTATACGATTCATATTAGAAGTCGGTGAATTCGCGTAGTGAGACATCAGTTACAGTTTACCATTGGTTTATGCCAAATATTTTTCTGTAAGTGTGCATTAGATGCTTATATAGATATTCAGAAGCAATATAAAATGACTTTTGTGTTTAAAACCATTGAGTCGCGGGTTTTATGAACCTCGTACCCCACCCACCAAAATTTGGACAATCAGGAATCATTAACCCTCACACAATAGGTGTTGCTTATCGTCTACTGCACAACCGTGCAAGTGGTTGCTGAGTGTCTACAAGCTAATCGTCTGTTTGATGCCTCCTGACATTTTGAAGCCCTTATTGGTGTCATCATTTAATATTTTATTATTTACAAATTTCTTCTATTTGTTTTTAGGGATGCATATCAGTCTATTCACTTAATGGGACATTAAATTGACTACAAAATTTATAATTCTCACCTCAATAAATTATTGAGGTTCATTCATCAGGTATATTTTACCTAGGTAATCCCAGCGTTAGTATATTAGAGCAAATAACAAAATGAGCAAATATTTTCTATTACTCCTCAGTTTTTCGATCTTACTAAAAAGAGAACTTTTTCAAGAGAATGGATCTGATATTAGGTTTTTAGGATTGCTTAGAATACGAAAATTATTTCGTTTTCTCATAACAACTGTAATTGGTTTCAGACTTACTTATGATTAATAGTACAATAACAGATATTAACTATTAAACTAAAGCCAGGACAGCAGGCGAAAATGTAAGACACAGTATACTTGAACGTTAGTTTATTAAGTTACTCAATGAAAATACGATGTAGCACAAATTTTGGATCCCTGGTGAGGTAACCTAATGGCTCAGTATGACTTGACTTTCAGACTTCCATATCCAGATGGATCATTTGTGTGTGCCATGAAAAAAGTTCTTGAGTAAGGCCTAGATCTAGTCCACTCCTATTTACTATCCACTCATCCAATAGAAATGTTTGATAAAAAGTACCCCACAATTATTCACGTCGTATAGTTAAATACTTCTTTGATACTTACCCTTCTTTTATTTTCCGTGCAGGCCTACCGGATACTTGGTATGCGCAAACCGCTATCTTCTGTGACATGGATAATGATCCACGTATTGTATCTGGTGGTAATTCGAGTCTCCTGTATATTTGGGATCATGTTGGGAATCTCTTGGCTTCATTAGATTTACATGATCCGCCTAATTCGCGTATTAGTCATACTCTAGTTGTGGATACATTCAATCTTTCCGAAGCAGCTGAAGCTTTAAAGTTGAAATATCATTCAGATTGTGCTTTTGTTGTTGGTGGGTGTGGACCGGTAATACGTTTAGTTGCTAATCTTGGCTATCCTCTTGGCGTACTGCATTTGTCATGATTTCATATTCTTTTTCTTCAGTAATAGAAAATGTACATAAATTATCAGTAATACATATACTTATATATTGGGTTTATTTCTGTTTTAACAAAAAAGGCGTCTTTGTTAGTTGTCCTTCACTTTCCTTCGTCTCCATTTCTCTTAAACTGTAGGTATTTGAATAATCTATAATGCGCTATAAGTCAGGAATACGGAACAACAACAATAACAGTGGCAATAATACTAAGTCACATTATTCATCTAAGAACAAGAAGAAATTCAAGCCTAAATATGATTCAAGGTAGGCGCTGTTTTGGTGTGTGGGGAGTGGGTGGGGTAAGAGTTGATTTAACGAATACAATCCTGTTCTTATATCTTCGATTTCTTATATTTCAAGAGTAGCTACCTGTGAAACTTGTTATTTGAGCGATTCCTCATTGTACTCTATTCTCATGAATGCTGTTCATTTAACATTTTTGTTATTAACCTGTAGTTGTTTTGGGTGCCTAACTTTGAGTCACTAGGTTACCGGCATCCGTCAACGGTGCCCACTCTCTCCATTCATTTACCATAGATATTCTTATGGAGGTTTCCATCTCGTCACCTGACTACATAGGGGTTGACCTAATCGAAGCAGAATTTTCGATAGACCTAAAATACGCAGATAACATAGTCCTGTTAGGTAAAGATGCTGAACAGTCGTCTTCTGGACACTGAGTGGGAATGCGAGAATATTTGAATGTGTTTCTCACCACCCAAACGTAAATTGTTGCTCCATGATTGGTCTTCAACGGTGCCCCACCGCGGCTAACAATAGAGAGTGTAGTGGTTGAGTGTGTCAGCCACTTCACTTCCCAGGTAAGTGAAGTGGGATTAGTCCTGGTGCGTTGGTCAGTGGCCGATGAAATCTCTACACGAATACAAAAGGCTCGGTTAGGTTTTGCCAACTTACGCGACCTATGGCGCTGCCGTGATATTCGATTGTCTATTAAGGGTCGGATGTACTGCACAGCAGTCTGGTCTGTTCTACTGTATGACTGTGAAACATGGCCATTCAAGGTGGAAGACATGAGAAGGCTGGCTTCAGATGTTTGACCACTGTTACCTTCGTAGAATAGGTTGTATTCTGTGGTGTCACCACGTGGGTAACGCAGAAGTCAGGTGTAGAGTTTTAGGGAGTAGAGGTAAATCAGTTGACACGGTTGTGAAGCTTCATCGACTGAGATGGTTGGGACATGTGTTACGTGTGCCTGGTCGCCATCTGCCTCGTCACACAATGTTGATCAAAGTAGGTCCAGGCTGAAAAAAGTCTCGAGGTGGCCAGACTAAAACATGGCACCAATGTATGAAGTGTTTGGCTGTTGGTTTGAGCCATGTGAGGAGATGCAGACTAGGTGGTTGGGGTCCATGGGACAAGAGGAACCAGTGGTTGGAGACTCTAGGTGATGGCATGGCTGAGAACGGATATCAGTGGCGCAGATGAATGCATACATTATCCTCATCTTAACGCTATACTGAATCTCACCATCTCCTCGTTCTTCCTTTCTCTTTTTGTACTTAGTGTTTCTTTTGATTGAATTTTCTTATCTTCATCTTGCGCCTCACTACCTTTTTACTTGATGTACTGATACGAAGTGTGGCAACTCGGGTCGCTACACAGTAATGTCTAATCCCATATTGATTTTGATGGATGGATGATGACATGCATTCGTTTCATCGATTCCGGTCAGATTGTTCAAATGTGGTATTGCTTATATATAAGCTACATTATCGTAACTTGTGATAAGATGTATCTCATTACCTCCTATGAGAAACTGTCAGCAACTTGCTTTTGTGCCACTGAAACTCACTTAATGATTTGAAAGGTGATTTCTGTGAAACCAGGGCTGACTGCTTTCGACATTGTCATTTGAATATAGTAGTTTAGCTACTTTGAAATGAACACAGATTCAACAGTAGGCCTCAGCAAAAAATTCGGCTAGATTTGTGGCTGCCAGTAAATGGCATCAGAATAGGGCTTTGGATAATGGTGATGCGATTCAGGTTACCATATTTCCTACAGCATAGAAGGGGAAAGATTTTGGAATAAATAAGGATATAAATGACAGACAAATCAATGTAGAACTGAAAAAAATGCATCGCTTCAAAGTGCCACTCTCCACAGTCGAATGCAAATAATAAGTCATCAATATCAACATAGGAACGGGCATTACTGTGTAACGTCGCCATACCTCAAATCAGCACATCGAGTAAAATGGAAGACGAAGAAGTATAAAAAATTGGTCACAAGCAGCAAAAGAGAGGAAGGGGGTACGAGGAGATGCTAAATTCAGTATGGCGATTAAGATTAAGCTTAAGTGTGGATAAATCTACACCACTGATATTGATTCTGAGTTATATCACCACCTACAGTCTCCAACCACTGGTTTCTGTTGTCTCATGGACCCCAACCGGCTAGTCCGCATCGCCCCACTTAGCTCAAACCGACAGTCAAGGATTTCACGCAATGCTATATTTTATTCTGGCCACTCTAAGCCTTTTTCTAGCCTGAACTTACTTTGCCCAACATTGTGCGACGAGGCAGATGATGGTTAGGCTTACGTAACATGTGTCCCAGCCATCTCAGTCAATGAAGCTTCACAACTGTTCCAACTGACTCACCTCTTCTCCCTAAAACTCTACACCTGACTTGTATGTTACGCACGCGGACACCACGAAACATGGCATGTGTGCTACAAAGACAGTGGTGGTCAAACACTTGAAGCCTTCTCATGTCTTCTACCCTTGATGGTCATGTTTCAAAGCCATGTAGCAGAACAGAGTACACTTGACCCTTAAAAGATAATCGGATATCGAGGCGGCGAATTACGTAAATTGGCAAAAGCCAAGTAAGGCTTTCATATCTGTACAGAGATTTTGTCGACCACTGATCCGACTTTCCAGATAGGTGAAGTGGTCAGCTCACCCAGCCACTTCATTTCAGATTTTTACCTGGAGCACTATGGAAGATCGGTCCAGGAGCAACAATTTGCATTTGGGTGTTGAGAAACGTATCCTAATCATTCTCAAATTACCACTTAAGGTGTCCAGAAGACTGTATCTCATCTCCATCTCCACCTAACAGGGCTATATTCCCTGTATATTTTAGATCTCCTGAGTGGATAGGAAGGATATACGTATAAAAAGAAAGCTTACATATGGAGTGATAATATCTTTTAGATGTTGAGGGAAAAGATGCACAACTGTGGTCGATATCAGTTTCCTACTTTCTAAGCAGGCATGTACTTAGAAAAGAAACGTGTATATTTCTCACCATCTTGACACTTATCATTAATATATGTCTGTTACTGGTCTCTAAAGTGTATGTTTCTAAAAAGAGCGTTGATCAAATTCCGTATTAGATTTGTTTATTTGATTTATAACACTCAGTGATCTAGTATTATTTACTCGATGACGTTTCGAGCATAAATTATCATTGCTCATAATCATATCAATATAATCACACTACTTTCGACATTTGGTTTTTATAGTTACGTCACTTTATATGAGTTGTTTTTATTGGTAGCAAAATTTTCCATATCTCTGGTATAGGTGTTGCGTCATTTCTATTACATGTGTTGGGTGTTGAATGATTCGATAAAGAAAGATTCAGTAGTCAATCTTTCTCCACCTAATTATATTGGACTTAAGTACAATGGCTTGACCCCACCCACCCATCCCAATATAATTAGGTGGAGAGAGAGATTGATTACTGGATCTTTGTTCATCAAATCAACACCCAACACGTAATAAAAACGACGCAACACCTATACCAGAGGTACGGAAAATTTTACTACCAATAAAACCTCATATGAGGCGACATAACTATAAGACTCAAATGTCGAAGAGTGTATGATTACACTGATATGATTATGAGCAATAATAATTGATGCTCGAAACGTCATCCAGTGAATAATACTATATCACTGAGTGTTATAAATCGAATAAACAAATCGAATGTGAAATTAAATTCTACCACTATGCCCAAGTTTTACACCTATATTAATGAAGCATTGATCAAAGTCTTAACTTATTCGTAGAATCGTTATTCGTTTCAAGTAGAAACAAATGATTGAAAAAATATGGAATCATCTCAGTGTATATATCATTTAAAAGGGCAAGTAGTTAATAGTAAATGGTAAGCAAATCAGGTATTATCAACAATTTATCGAATGAAATACCACTGGTTACTGGGTTAGTTTGCATTTCGCTAGTGAATTAAATCCTCCGTAGATGTTATCTATGAAAGGACATGTTTAGACTAATCGATTTAGGGAAATGATCCGTCATACCTATGTTTATCATTTTGTTTGCGCTACTTAATAAACACTTCAACAGTCTATTATAAGTGTGCTCAGAAATGTATAATTGTTGACAAAAGAGGCAGGGCAGCGAAGACGGGAATTCGAGTGAATGTGAAGACAGTGGTGATGAAGATACCCAACCAAAAACAGCATCAACAACAAGCACCAATCACGGTAACCGGGAGAAACCTAAAGGAAGTAGTCTCTTTCACCTGTCTAGGCAGCAGCGTTTCAACTACAGGAGAGGATGCCAAAACCAGGAACGGAAAGACAGCAAGATAGGCCTTCCCTCATTAATCTGAGATCAGTGTGAAGATCTATTACACTCAGCACAAAGGGTGAACAACATCCGGATTTTCAACAGCAATGTCAAGTCAGTTCTGCTGTATGGTTCAGAGACTTGGCACGTTACGAAAGGCATTTCCAACAAACTACAGACATTCGTCAACAGCTGCCTACGCCCGATACTGGAGATCAGATGAGAAGGCGAGAAAGAATAAGCAACAAAGAACTCTGGGAACGAACCAACCAAGAACCTATTGCTCAACAAATATGCAGAAGGAAGTGGAGATGGATTGGGCATACACTGAGAAGGTGGTTTGGGGACATCACGCGTCAGGGCAGTCGCTCGGTGGAACCCAGATGGGAAACGGCGAGTTGGGAGTCCGAGGCAAGGGTGACATGGAGGAGATAGTATGAGGAAATGAAAGCTTGTAGGCAGTCGTGGAGCTAGGCTGAAAAGACTGCAGAGAAGAGATTGAAATTACGACGCGCCACTGAGGCCCCATGTTCCACTAGGAACCCAAGGGGCAAATAATAATAAGGGAGCATTTTTGGGTGACTCTAAAGGCTACCTTAGCAACAATTAAAATAAGCAGTTAGGCTTCACTAATTACTTTAAATCTGCTTTTCTAGCCTAACTGGAGAAACATAATTGGTTATCTCATCAGTTGCTAGGGTGGCCCTTAAAGTTACTTGCATTTTTGCTGACTAACATTCTGGAAAACAGACGACATTTTAATCTAATAAATCGTATAATGACACTAATTGTAGGCATTTTAGTGAATAGAGCGATGTACACTGTTTTTGGTTAATATATGGGAAATGATAAGTTATTCCGCTGTGATTCAGAGGATCCACCCGGTACCTTTATTTCAGGAGTCACTAATAAGCTTCCTTAGCTATTTGAGTTGAATTTTTTCAGATTAGAAGAATGTATATTTTCTATTCCAGTGTTAGACTTTTTATAGCAGCTAGTTGACTGTGCGTTCGCATATGCTGATGTATTAGGTCCTGTGACCTCAGCTTGTTTCGACTCCTTAAGGCAGTATGCCGCATAGCGCTGACCGAAATCAGTAGTTGTTGACCGCACACAGAAATCAATAGGGCTCACTGACCAGATCAAGATGTGAGCTAACCTCCAGATAGTCGTTCCTTTCGTTTGTTTCCGAGCTTACGAGCAAATTATTTTCGGTCAGAAAAAATATTTAAACCGCTCAAATTCTCACCAGCAGTTAACTTGTTTCGTTGACTGAATTCTTTATTTCTTACACTATTTAGTTACTTTTACAATTATGTACAGTACAGATGGGGAATGCTGCAATTATGGGTTTAGAATCCGTTCACAAATGGCAAATTGGACTAGTTAGTCAATTTTAGAGTTGACCAAAGACACTTCTTTAATACTCAACATGGATTCACCTCAGTTGAAGGAACACTGGAACACAACTGTTTCGTCCAAGTATGGGACCCAGCACTGCACACTCATGACCCCACCAGGGATCAAACTCAGGACCTTCAGGTCCCGCGGCCAGCACGTTACTATTGAGCTTGAAATCAATTAATAAATCTGCACAAAAAACCTAGATTGAACTTCTTCAATATGTTCACTGAGGTCTACAGAACTCATGAACTGCCCACATTCTTGAGATTTAGCCTTGTATTGTTCACCACTTGTAGATAAAGATCATCTCATCACTAAACTATTTTGGTCACTAGGATATGAACAACACTCAGTTGTGTTTTGAAACTGTCTTATCTATCTTAAAAAGGGATTTATATATCGACATACCTTTTATTATTCATACTAAATTCTGTTTTTTTTTATCCTTTAGACTGATAACCAGTTTGATTATAAGCTTGATATCTCAGATTAAATTTTATTGTAAACTGTTAAATTTGTGATTGTGTAAATTGTGGCTGTCGTAGCTCAGTGGCCTAGTGAGTAACTTTTCGGCATTTGAAGCTATGCGTACGAGGTTCGAGTCTCAGTGGGGACAACATCACTCACTTGGGGTGTAGTCACATCTAACTGACTAGTCCCAAATAAGAAGGAACATGCGTCTTACATTCAACTATCAGTCACCAAGATGATTATAAAAGTAATTATTTTATTGATTTTTCTTTCAGAATACATCTAGTAAAACAGAGGATTATTCAGAAACAAAGAGCACAGTTTACCTTTCAAAATTCTAAGCTAAAAGTCATCTCCAATGAAGAAGAAAAAGAAGTTCAGTCAAAATTGAATAGACCAAAAGAAATCGTCTCTGTGCCGATTTCTCTTAAACCACTACATACAACTAACAGGTTGGATAAAGATGAGCCCGTAACCGAAATTTCTCCTCTTGAATCTCATCCAAATAGGTGAATTTAAAAATAATATTCAGTTATATTTTGAAATCAGCTTTAAAAATAGTATAAATCACTTTCAAAGCTTTGAAGCAATAAACATTTATTTCTGTGTAGTAACTGATCTACTCAAGAGTTTGAATCGTCATTGTGGTATTTCGCATCTGTTAAGAGAGATGGGGGATAGATCTCAAAATAATATAAAGCAAGTGTTAACCGCTTCTCTAGTTGACATCTTCAACAATCATCTGTTTCTGAGATTTATATATTTCTACATCTCATTTAGTTGGAAGGACTTTCCATTGAAACTCTACCATATCATGCCAGAAAGCGAAAAAAAATAATCAAAGTTACCAGTTAGTCTGTAAGAAAATGAAATATGATTACCAGTTCTCATGTATAACAAAGTAGTACTGGAGTGTCATATCGCTTTTAAACATTTTGTAAGGCAGCTAGGCGGAATCATATATAATACATAAATCTTCATATACATATTATTCCCTTTGTTTGTATGGATTAGACTAAAGAAACAAACATGTTTTATCTTACCCCCATGGGTTCGAACCCGCACCATCTGCCAATACTTTGGAAACCAAGTAGTCTTCAGATAATGTTTGGTTCATTGCCTGATGTATGAATATACATGTGACTGGTAAGAAAATTTGTCCCTTTCTCAATCAAAGTAACAAATGACTCACTTAATTCTATCCAACTCAACTAATTAACGAAAACGTAAAACCCGCTAAACATAATTCAAGCAAGTAAAATCGCATGTAACCAAATCATAAGAGCAAACAGAAATATAAAGAAAGTGAAATCGAAGGCAGAAAAGGGAATATAGAAATTTATCAAATGGGGAATAACAGGATACAGACAATGTAAAGGAACACTAGATGTGCTCGTATTTATCTACCACTGGTATTGCTTCTCAGCATAGTTTTGAAGTGATAGATGTGGAACTTCGTCCCATTAATCTAGGCACTTTGATATCCAACCGATGGGTCACGGTTTCGTACTCTAAAGCTGTAGGGATTTAAGCAGCCAGGGAGTATTATTAAGCCTCACACAATAGGTGTGCTTCGTTGCCTAGTGGATGACTATGTTCAAGATTGTTGAGTGTATTTCCATTTTAAGTTTTAAACTTCTACTACATCAAGGGCTTCCGGCGTCACCCAATGTCATCGTTGAGTATTTATTCTCATGGCCACCAGGTTTCCCCCACCGGTCACAAACTCTCATTGGAATTTCGAGAATCACCTCTCGAAGCTAGTCACTAATGAAGACTAGATCAATTGAATTTGGTGGGTTTGTAGAGATTTAGCAATTTTTCAAGTTCGTATTCACCATTGACTGGCATCAGCTGGAGAAACCTTGGAGGACGAGATAGCTATTTCGTCCTAATATGGACTCCTCAGCATTAGGGGCTTCAACCAGATGTCATATACAGTTTACAATAGAATGAATCCTAACCAAAAGCTACTCACTTAATGAGTGACTTGAAACTATATATCATTGCTTTAGATCGCCTATTATCAAATGTTAAGTTTTGGGTTTGAACCTTCATTCTGTTTACTTCAGCATGAATGTGACTGGATGTTATCAACTGTCCTCAAATATTAGGTGTTCCGTATTACTTATACTGCATTAACATGTATCAAGGTATTGAGTTGCATTATTATTATTATTATTATTCTAGTGGGAGGTAAATGTGTGAAATGTTTTATTAAAAATGAATCAAAAAATGATAATATAACAATTTTTAGGTAGAGTAGTGATTGAAAAATTCTCTATTGTCTATACTCTTTGTAAATTTGATCAGGTTATCTACAAAGTTTAACGTCAATTTGCAAAAGAAAAAATCAGAAGTGAATCCGTTGAATGAACATCATCAAGATAATTTGAATAAGTCTACTTCAGACTTGTATACATCGACTAAGTCAAAAGAAGTATGGTTTGATGATGTCCCACAAGCTTTAATCGCACATTCAATGCAAGATCAATCGGCTACAACAAAATCTTTAGTCAAGTCGACATCATTTACTGGGTTAAGTGTATTCAGTTAACTTTTATTAATCTCTTGATGTTAATTACACTTTTATTATATTAGGAGAAAAAAAAGTGTACAGGGTAAGCTGTTTTTGTATTATAACCCCTCAATCGTATTTGTTTATGCTTTCTTTCTTTGGATTGAAGTCAGGACTCTGAGGTTCTACTATAAATCAGTTAGTATTCCAATCACTGGAATCCACTCTAAAATGTAACATTTTCAACCTAAAGATTTTAATACTATCAGACTCATCGTATCGTTCATGGTAGGATTCAACGATTTCATAATCAGTCTGATCTAATGAATAAGTAAAGTAAGAGACTTGACCAAATCTCTGTATCATACAAATGAATATTAAATATTTGAGTGTATGATGTTAATCGGGATCGTGTTGAGTTGAAAGAAGGCTAATAGAGGTCAGTTTGATACGTGGCACTAATCTATGAAGTCTCTTACCGTTGTTCCGAGCTACATTGGGAGAAGTAAGCTGTGTAACTAGGCTCCTCAACGTAGTAGAAATCAGTGGTTGGATACTATTTTTGATACGATCCAAAATTAATATTAACTGTACAGTTATATGCACTCTTTGTTATCTTATAAATCTTAGATCTTCGTTTTTTCTTACTTTCTCCTATCTTACACTTCTTTCCACCTTAATTTTCTTTTCTTCCGTTCACCTCTTCTTGAAGTGATACACTTGTGTACCAATTTCTGATGTTGGTTTATCTATGGCTACATTATCGCTTTGTATATTTGTGGAGAATTTTCTTTACTTGTGTGGATCGCTATATTTGTGACAGGAATCCAGCCTAATAAGCATTACTAAGGTGTAAGCTATGGTTACTGGAGACCACCAACGTAAAATATGACCTAGAACAATCTATCAGAATTGTCAAACGTTAGAAACATGCTTCTCTGGGTGAAGTTTATTTGATAGTACAAAAATGTAAGAAAGTTTTCCTATACAAGTTTTAAAAATATTTCCCAACTTATAGATAACAAGATTACAAATTGATGACTTAAAATATGTATTTCGATTTAGGCTGCTTCCTATCACACTGTGAAGCTTGAATTTTATAGAGCAGGAACTAGAAATATTAATGATTGTTTGCCAAAGCTGATCACACCTGATCCACATAAATCTATTCATAAACTGTTCGAAGAATGTGAATTACATTTTCTCACAATCTGGTCAAAAGGAGATAAATCATGAAGTTTTTCAAATCAACAGAGCGAAAAACACACTAAAACATGATACGAATGTAATAGTCATTATGATCAGAACAGATTATGAAGAGAAGGCAAGTGAACTCGTGTCTGAAGAATCATACTCTTCAATTAACAAGAAGAAAAGATCCGCCAAATTGAACAAAATGAAATTAAACACTAATAGACTACTTCAAGAACTGAAAGCCAAGATTAACAGCTGAATTTGGTTCAAACTCAAACCTAAGTCTTACACATCTTCAAGATTCTATGGTCTGCTAAAGATCAATAAACCTTCCTTCCTATTGAGACAATTGTGAACTTTATCAACATACAGTCTCTCTGAATATTTAGCTTCATTACTAAAATCTCTACAAAACACTCAGAATATACAATAAGAGACTCACTTGACTTTAAGTCCAAAATTTCTTCAATTAAAATTGAGGAAGATCAATACTATTTCACTTAATGACAGTCTAGACTTAGACTGAGACGCAACACTGACAGAAGGATGTCCACTGAATACCACTGACATCATCGAGACCTTGAACTTTTGCATAGAGACTGCCTACTTCACACAAAAGAAAATTATGCAGTCAAACTAACGGTATAGCAATGGGTTCATCTATTTCACTCTGATAAGGGGAAAGAGAACGAAGAAACTAATCTGGAATGATGATGAATTCCAACCTAAAATCAACTAATAAATCTCCACAAACCTCTAGATGCAATTAATCTAGCACTCATTAGTGACTGGCTTCGAGAGGTGATTCCCGAAGTTCCAATTAGAAGTCGTGATCAATGGAGTCAACCAAGTCGAATATGAGGACAGTTACTCAACGATGACATTGGATGTAGGTCGCGCTATATGATAAACTGACAGAAGTAGGAAATATGGACCATTGGATTACGACTCAGTGGCTCAATGGTAACTCGCTGACCACAGAACCTGAAGGTTCTGGGCTCGATCCCTGATGGGATGGGGTCATGGGGTGCGCAGTGCTGGGGATTCCCATGCAGAGATAAGACAGGTTTCCCACGTTCCTCCTACTGATGTCAGACCATGAAGAAATCTAACCTAAAATCAATTAATAAATCTCCACAAACCTCTGGATAGAATTAATCTGGAAATGGATCAACCTAAATGTTAGTCACGTTTACAGTTAGACGACAGAAAACCGATCAGCCAATTAATATCATCATTTAGAACACCGAGTTATGTATACATTTAGATATGTTTTCCTTTTTTAGTTGTCCTCGGCCTTAATATACATTTCCTACACGTCCAATGCGTCTTAACTTAATTAGTCAGGTCGGAAATCAACCAGGAATTCGTTGAACGTTGGTGGCTGACAGTAAATATCTGTGCATCGATAGCGGCTATAACAGTTACAAATCAGTATACACCCTTAGTAGCTCACCTTTTGATGACTAAATTCAAAGGAATTATCTCCACGTACTTACTAAAGCCGAAAATTTGACTGAGGTATGTTAACGACACATTTTTAATTTGGAAACGTGACTTATACCAGGTACTCTTAGATCAGCTGAACCCTAGATCACCCAGTATCATGTTCACCTCAGAAGAAGAAATGAATAATTATGAACTGCATTTCCTTGATTCCCTTGTTTAGGGGATGGAAAATGGACAGTTGGGTATGGCCATTTTCAGGAAAGCAATGCATTGGGACAAATATTTACATTTCATTTCATCACATCCAATCAGTGCGAAGATTTTGGTTACCTCCAATCTTTTAAGAAGAGGACACTTCAATAACGAATGAAAACGAAAGTGTTAAGTAATTAAAATATGTGAACAAGATACTTAAAATGAATAATTATCCAGTGAAATTCATTCACAATATAGAAATTAATATTAAATCAGATCATGAAAGTACTCCTAAATAATTGGGCTCTTACACTGGTCATATGGCACAGATCATACGCCTCGGATAAAATTAGGACAGGGGTCAACAAATGTAATGTCAGTGTTCTACAGAACATCAAACAGATTCCAGAGCGCCTTAGTCTATGAACACCGAAATGCTTCCCTCGACCCCTTAGGAATCCAGTAGAGCTGGGGAAAGTTGAAAACACTTTAGCCATAGCTGTCTCTGTACGCTATCATTTTAGATCACGTTAAAGAAAACGACAAGGCGGAGACGAAGGAAGGAATGTTTGTTACTGACATCTTGTACAATAGTCATCAAATATACACCGACTAAGACAGTCATTTGCATAATATACTTCATTTCCTTTTCCGCTTCTATCTTGATTTGCTCTTAATACACCCATATCATCTCTTGCGTTTCTCTGGGCAGAATTTTTACTTATTGCTGATTATTGCCTATGGTTTCTGCCGCTCTCCCAACATATACTACTTCTTATATCCATTCTGATCAGTAATGTGGTTGACTTTGACAACATTGAAATTATTCAGAAAGACTTCAGGATTTTTAAGGAACCTCTGATAGCAGTATCGCTTCATATGAAGTGAAATCCAGATTGTCTTGATAGAAATGGGAGAATAAGACCTGGTTTGACCTGGTCTCATCTCACTTCCACATACTTGAATAACCAACTATCAACATATGTGTACATACAAATCTCAGTATGTAATTCATACACTCTTCCCACATAACAACTTGATGAACTAGGTTACTGAGGTGACTGTAACCTGTTTGTCCTATCCTACACCCTCCTTTAGCCAGATGATACTGATCTGAACACTAGACAACCGTTCTCCTCATTTATTTGTTTCCTCATCTGCAGTGTACACGCTTTGGATAATTTCTCTCTACTCATCCCATCTAGTAGCAGTTCATTTTCACTGTTGTTTCTTTACAGATTTTCTTACCACTGTTGTATTTTCGTAGAATCTTCTGCTGTTGGTTTTAGTGTTTGTTCACTGTTTTCGTAAAAGTTTCTGTTTTTGTAATGACGGATGACATCTTGTTATCTATTAAACTAGGGAGGGTAGATCACGTGTAATGAAATCGCCCATAATTAAATATAGGCGGCTAAGAGTGATGAAACTATACTGCTTTTGAAACAACCATGACAGAACTCTCTTATTAATACGGTACACGTAGAGGTGTTATGAGTAATCTTGATCGAACTGTTCGATTATGGTCTACCAAAAAGCATATTTTTGTTAACTGGATTAGCGGTTAGTGCGAACCTATAGACTTCAAGGAATTTTTCAGCACGGACTCTAGAACCACTGAAAACCTAAGAGAATACAGACAAAATATGAGAAAAAACAAATTCATTATTATTCTGTTCCTATGGAAAAAAAGTTTTCAACCAAATAGAGGTGAGGACAAATAACCTTCACCAACTATGAAGGATGGCCACTATGTGTTATAGAATACTAATCGTTGAATCCCAACAAATTGTCACCTTGTATTTAATACAGATCTATTGGGTTTGAACCCTCAATGAATCGCTGATACTGCAGTACACTAAACTAGATTGTAGTTGTTATCTAGTTCACTTCAAGACTGGTTTCTGTCTATAGGAGATTTGAGTTGATAGTCAGTAGCAAGGCTAACTTCGAAAGTTTTAAAGTTCAATGTGTAAATTACTATCTGAACATATGAATAACTAGTAGAGTATATATTAATAATGAACAGTGGCCAGCAGTAGGATCCAGGATACGCATTTCGTCCTGTTTTGGACTCATCAGTTGGATATACCTGCCTCCCAGTCAGTGATGTTGCTCCCACCACAGCGTTATCCACCGAGCTACTATAACCACTTGTTGTGCTGTGAGTATAGTTTTTAATGTCATTGCTTGTATTATCCCGATCAATTCGGTCCAATCAACAACGGAATAATACAAGCTACAACATTATTTAGTAGAGTAGTTAGGAAGTAATTATACACACATGATTTTTGTAAATATGACTTTCATGTGAATACTTGCTCATACTTTAATTTACACTTTTTTTAACAGTCCAACACGTCGTATTGCAATGGATTGTGAATTTGTTGGCGTTGGTTTTGAGGGCAAAGACGATGCTTTAGCACGTGTTTCTATTGTAAATCAATTCGGTCATATACTTCTGGATACATATGTACGCCCAGAAGAGCGTGTTGTTGATTATCGAACAAAATTCTCCGGTATAAGAGCTCATGATTTACGAAAGAATGGATCAGCTCGGTCATTTCATGATGTGCATAAACAAGTTGCTGAACTCATAAAGAATCGAATATTAGTTGGACATTCTATTCTAAAAGATCTCAAGGTAGGTTGAATAAATTGTGCATTCGAGAAGTTTGAATGTAATTGTAACTTTTCAGCATAAATTTCAGTTCATCCACTGAATGAAAAGCGAATTAAGTAGGCAGTTTACGGGGATTGATCGATTTCAAAGTAGTTTATCGTCATGGAGTGATTTTGAGTGGAGGAACATTTCTTTCGTCCCAGACTATGCCTCTTCAGCATTCGGAAGGTTTTTACGAACCTCGACCAATGCAAAGTAGCTGGACCTGGCGGTTTGCTGCCAGACATATTTGAGCAAATAGGTAGGAAATTAATTACTAGAGTAACGAAGGCACTAGCTAGCATATGCGAGTCGGAGGTAATCCCGTCAGATTAATCTGCTTCACTGGTCATCCCAATCTGTAAGAAAGGAGAGAAATCTTCTTGTGATAACCATATGGGAATCACTGACCAATATTCTGTTCAAGATACTAGGATTCATAGTTACCTGTTGCCTAACTAAAGCCCGAGAAAACCAAGCAAGTTTCAGACTTGGACAGGGGCGCATCGATGAGATCTTCACCCTTCAACAGGTCCTGAAACACAAGAGTACTTACCGGCGGCCAATACCAGCCATAATTCTTTACCTGAATGTGGTATTCAACTCTGTCCACCAAGAGGTATTATGAAAATGTCTCACTGTGAAAGAGAGAGTATCGAGAATGTATGTAACACTAATCAGAACTCTACTCAAACTCATACATCCATGTAAGGACATATGGAGAGTTTTCGTCTGAACTGACAACAACTAGTGGTGTTCGCCGGAGATGTCCATTGTCACCGTTCCCGTTCACATTCGTTATAGATGTACTGATGGACCTAACTCTGAGTACCTTTGACTTCATGTGGGTTGGTCTTCTCCCTGGAGATCATCTGTTTGACCTGGAGTACGTTGACAACATTTTCCTTCTGGGTGACGACGCTGACAAATGCAGGGTCATCTGAACGCGTTGAATAAAAATAAGAGTATGTTTGGCATGCGTCTTGCACCTGTCAAATACAAGCTGATATTCCAAAGCTGGTCTGCAACTACTGCCGGTTTAATGAGAGGGAGTGAAATGGTGGAATATGTCGACCACCTAACTTACTTAGGGAGTTGTGTGAGCCCGAACGGATTAGTGGGTGAGGAATTCTCAGCTGGGATACGGAAGACGCGTTTAACATTTTCCAATTCTCATCATCTGTGGCTCCAACTGGTGATATGTCCGACTACCTACCAAAAGACGAGTAATCATGTGCTGCACTCTGTTCTGTCCTGTTGTATTGGTGTGAGAAATGGCCGTTAAAAGTAGAGGACATGAAGCGATTACACTGTTTTGATCACAGATATCTTCGTAGCATTGCTCGCGTCTGGTGGAATCACCGTATGAGTGATGTTGAGGTCAGGCGGAGAGTACAAGACAAGACAGGCAAGTTGATTCATGAGGCTGTGAACTTTAGTCGACTGAGGTGACTGGTATTGTGCATGCCTAGCCACGACCTACCTCGAAATGAAGTACTAAGAGTTGGATTGGATTGGAAGGGGGTTCAAGCCGACCAGATCAAGGTGTGGTACTAGTTGATGAAGCTCCTGACTGTTAGTCTGAGTCGTGTGGAGAGATTAGACTCCCCGCCTGGAGACCAGGATACCACAGCAACCAGTGGTTGAGGACTCTTGCTACCCTGGCTAGAAATCGGAGGCAGTGGTGGAGATGTTACTCTTAAGTGTGGCAGCTTGCACTGGTCCACATGTGTGCGACGTTGTACATTGGTTTTACCTATCACTCTGTCGACCCTTGAACTTCTAGGTCTCGTTTTGGGAACGTTACCATCCAACCACCGGCTTAGAATCCAGTGGTCCACTTTTTCTTCCGTCATTTTGTGATATGGCGTGACGATTTTTTAGCGGTTCTCAAACTTATAGCCACACACTGTCTTAAAAGGCAACTGGTAACAATTTTTCACTCATAAAACTGCTGGGTTTAGTTGTCTGTGATTGACATGAAATTTGGAATTGGTTAGTTGAATTAATCGGTTGACCTGACTTGACAGTTGGTTTAATAACTTAGAGGCTTTCAAAGGTCTAATTGTGTTTTCTGTATCTATCATGAAGCCCACATTTATTAGCCATTCGATTAAGCTAAGCCTAAGTAAATCGAATAGCATTGAAGGATGTGAGTGTCTTTGAACACATAAGTAGATGTGAATGGTAACAATGCTGGAATTGTCAGTTTATATGCTAATCTTCACTGAGTGACATCTGTCATGGAGAATTCGAAACACCTATTACTCACTCTTATAGTTGAGTGACTTTAAAGGCCACCATAGCAACTGCTGAAATGGCCAATCAAGCTTCGGTATTTCACCTGAGAAAGTGCTTTTCTATAGAATAAAGGAATTTAATTGGCTGTCTCATCAGTTGCTAGGGTGACCTTTAAAGTCACCCTTATATTTTATAAATGTTGAGATTCATTAGAATTTATTTATCGTGTCTCTGTAATGATTTTTGTGCAATAGAAGTCATCCGAAGTTAAAATAGTAAGATACTTCAACTTTCGCCATTTATTACACAATGAATGATTTGCTCATTTTAATAGTTATCTAGGTTGTTCACACATAAAATGAGTTATAAAACTTATAGCCTTCCGACGTTGATGTTACATGCAGCGAAGATCCCACCTAAACGTCACAATCCACGTGGTACGGGTGACTATAGAAAAAGTGATCACAAGAGTAAACATGAAAGCTGGTTACCAGTTTGTTGGTCGCATTATTATTATTTTATTTATCCCTTGGGTTCCTGTTGGAACATAGGGCCTCAGTAGCACGTCTCCAGTGAACTCTCTTCTCTGCAATCTTTTGAAGCTGTCGCCATGACTGCCCACAAGCTTTCATTTCCTCATACTATCTCCTCCATGTCACCCTCACCTCCGACGCCCAACTTGTCACTTCCCATCTGGGTTCCACTGGAGTGACTGGCCTGACGCGTGTTGTCCCCAGTCGGCTTTCTCAGTGTATGCCCAATCCATCTCCACTTTCTTCTGCATATTTGTTGAGCGATAGGTTGTTGGTTGGTTCGTTATCAGGCCAGAGTTTCTTGTTGCTTATTCTTTCTGGCCATCTGATCTTCAGTAAAGAGCCAGCGTAAGCAGTTGTTGATGAATGTCTTCATTTTGTTGGAAATGTCTTTCGTAACGCGCCAAGTCTCTGAGACATATAGAAGCACTGACTTGACTGAATTGGTGTTGAAAATCCGGATGTTGTTGACGCTTTAGCCTGGGTGCAGTGCAGAAGATCTCCACACTGGTTTCAGGCTAATGAACGCCTGTCTTGCTTTTCCGATTCTGACTTTAACGTCCTCGTCTGTGCCGCCTGCAGCAGTCGCATAATCCACGATATATGCTCCATCTTATATTGAACTATACGAATCTATTCTTATGGATCTCAATGCATAAACTTATTCCCACTGACATAAATTTCCATAGTATATTCCATCCTCTGTTGGAACCTAATCATTATACTTAAAGTCAAGGAAGTAGGAAAAATGTGCCAGTTTGTGGGATAAATGAACATAAAACTTTACTTACAGCTTTCTAAGGTATTAAATATCAGTTGTTTCAATCACTTATGTTGGTTGTTACCGTAAATTTCTCAAATAGATCAAACAGTAGGATATTCTGACTATAATTCAGGTTCGACTATCTGAATTTGAATGTAATCCAAATTCCTTTTCAACTCTACTCATTCTATTTTAAACAGGACTATCAGGAGTGCCTTCTGTTCCATATCATGATTAATATGTGTTGACCAGTCATATACTCTGTTATTTATCGTAGTCTAAGTAAATTTTATTTTGAATCCTGAAATATGTGTAAGAATGTTAGTTGGATGTAGGGAATCGACAGGAATACCCACTAAGACTATGTATCTTGATTCATGTATTCCAGTGAATATATGTTACTGCTTTAGCTGAAGTGACTGGGCATTGAATTAAGTACATTCTCTACACATCTCTACTGGATCGCATTTTTGTCATATAGGTTTATCAGACTTTTATAGTTGCCAAGATACACTTCCTTTATGTGCTAATATATGAGGTATATTGACTTGGACCGCTATGCAGTACTGCCTCATCCCATGTTGATCTTGTCTGTATGTCTGGGACGGTATTACAACTTTACTTCTTTACGAGAGAAAGATTACTTTTTGTTGACCACAATTTATTTTGATAGTACCTCTTCGTGAAGAGTGTTGCTAGATGCATGTAGTATAAGTATAAAGCACGTGCTGGGTCTTCGTTTGATTCGTTGATGTAATATACTGTTTGTTAAGCTTTTTTACTTCCTATTTATATATTAAATTCCTAGACATATATGTCACTTCAGGTATCATTATCTTCCTGTGACTATTCAAAGACTTTTCTGGTTGCTTAAATATCCCTGTTTCAATAGTTATTACTTGACCATGTAATCATTTGAACGTAAAAGTTAAAAAAGTTTGATCCATACACGTTCACTTTATCATTTCTGTCGAAGGAAGAAAAACAAGATCAGCAGAATGAATTGATTGCATATTTATTTCATGGTTTCTCTTCACCCTACAAACAGCCTAGAATAAGTGTAGAAATAATATGCGATAAAATAAGGAACACGCTTTTTATGTTAGAGCAAATTAATGATGTACATGGGGAAGTGTAGATACAACAGAGGAAAATCCATTGGAAAATGCTTGCAAAATGAATAATGGGGATATAGTTTGTTTATTTACAGGTAGTTGGAAAGAAGATCTCGGAATCTCAATAGCTGGGCTAAGAAATAGTAGTAAGTTATAGTCATTGTCTTAGTAGTAATAATAATAATGAGATAATTATCATGTTAATAACAGATTTATCGAGTAAATCTCGTTCTTCTCGCTTTGTTGAAAAAGTTTCAGATATTTCAAAAGAATTCATTGACAGTGCAAAATCTCTACTTCCAGGATGCATTGATCCCTAGTATGACAGTAAATCAGGAAGTTTTAAGTTCATAGACTATTTCATCAAACATCCAGTTTCCGGTATTTTTTTCATGAATGAATGTCTTGAAAGCATCACCTATGAGCTGTGAAACAAATAATTGGCCAGTTCAAATGTAAGGTATAAATTTCTAAGAAGATGATGTTAACTTTCACTGAATGGAGATTGTGTTTTTATCCGACTTGAATTTGTCGAGTTGTCTGAAATGCTGTATTCTTAGACTTTCGTCCTTATGATTTCCTACAAAATGTATTGGTATAAAGTGTAGCAAACTAAATTTGAGAAAAAACGTAAAATTAGTCACACATTCCTTTGCTATATCTTAGTAGTATAAATAATTGAATTGTAACTTTTCTCCTCCTTTTTGATAGGTTTTGAGACTCTCTCATCCACGTCGATTTATCCGCGACACATCACGTTATCGTCCCTTCCGTGATTTATTCTCTGGTCGTATACCATCATTGAAAGGATTGACACAAAAAGTTCTCGGCGTTACTGTACAAGCTGGTGAACATGATTCAATTGAAGATGCTAGAGCTACCATGCGACTGTACACATCTGTTAAACGTGTCTGGGAATCGAGTAAAAAGAATCGAACTCCAACGGGCAAAAATATTAAGAAAGCTATACCTATTGATAAACAAGGCACACTTGATATTAAAGATGAATATGAGGTTAGTTACAGTGCATTTCTACTCTGTTGATTACTTACCTAAATATAGTGTTATATTATGTAGACACTACCTTCAGGTTATAACAGATGACATCAGAAAGTATTTTGTCACGTTATAATTGAAAACTATACTACTGCATAGACACTTAGTAGTACTTAGGTGAATGAGTAAAATAAATAATCACTCGGAAAAAGTCATTTTCAACGTTTTCGCAGTTTTATTATGCCTGTCTATCGCAAGCTTAACGAAGCAGAGACCTGTTAATATTCTTTATCATCTAAGTGCATGAGACTAGACCACACCTGTCAGGTGTCCAAAGTCACTGAAGTGAGATCTTGTCACATAATCCACTGATTGATAATTGATTGTCTCCTTCATCGATATTCTTCTTTATATGTTTCAGAATATCATTATTCCCAAAGAATTAAGCCTGAACTTGATTGCATTATGATAATAAAAAAATTCAAAACTTGTGCGGGGTTTCTTGATTGGTTTTTCGTCCCTAAGATCACTTCTATGGAACCTATAAATACTACACAACATTTTCGAAGGTTTCTGTCAATGGATTAACCGTTTCACTTCAGCTAATGGGTTCTACGTTCAAACCTTACTATGCATACCTCGGTCCGGACAAGTGAGCTCACTTACTCAGGGATCTTGACTTCATTGCCCACTTTGTACATGAAGACTAAACGAAGGGAATGATTTGCATCGATAGTATTCATTTCATTTATTATTCACTGGATGAAATAATTGAAATAAATATCTGGATCCAGTTATCGTATCACTTTTCTTGACTAAATTCTAAATCCTATCTGTCGTATTTGTCAGATTCCAAACCTTATTACCAAGTAGGCTTAATTAAATACCTAAGTGATAGGGCGGTAAAGCTTACTAGTAGACCAGAAAATCTGCGACAAGAAATTAGGCACATCAAGAATACCTTGCATCTTAATAATTACCCACCAAAATTTATAAATAAATTCACAAGAAATCGGAAAAAAAATATGAGTAGTAGTAGTAGTAGTAACCCAGGTGTTAATAATATTCCTACTAGTAATGGTGAAAGGGTTGAAAGGAAATTAAAAGCCTCCACTATGTTACCATACAAAGAAAGCAACTCAGAAGCATTACGAAGAATTCTCAATAAGGCTGGTATTAGAGTGGTATTTAAACCAACAAACTGGCTTAGAAACAAGCTTTGTAGGTTAAAAGATCCTGTTGATCCAATGAGACAGAGTAATTTTAATTTACTAAATCCCTTGCAATGATTACGAGGTTAAATACATACGTCAAAGCATTTGACCAGGGTCAAGTAGAATAACAGAACCTAAAAGCATAGCTAAATCAAGAGTAGTGGATTTTAATAAGATTTAGAGAAAAACTTGGCCATAGCTATACACCCAATTGCACACACTAACAGTATTAAAAACGAATTTATTTGGGATCAGGGAGAAATTGATAACCGATTCTTTGTTTATCGAATCAACATCAAACACATGTAATAGAAGTGATTCTGCGCCTCTCCCAGATATAAGGAAAATACTATTACTCTTGTCACAAAGAAGGACAGAGAAGAAGTATCGTATAAACTATACCTTTAAGTTGTGGAGTTACCTGGTATGACAATGGACAGTAAGTTATGTCCGAAACGTTATCCAGTAAATAATACTGTTTCACTGTGTAACAGAACCTCGCCTGGTAGAAGGGAGACCTCAGTGTTTGCAACAACTGGCGAGGAATCACTCTCCTATGGACCCAGAGCAAGCAAAATATTAAGCCGCATCATCCTGGAGAGGCTAAAGAATGCACTGGATTCAAAACTACGACCGGAACAGGCTGGCTTGCCGGCTTCAGGAAGTACAAATCATGTGCGGACCAAATTGCAACGCTTCGCATCATCATAGAACAGAGTATAGAATGGTAGTCAACTCTCTACCTCAACTTTATTGACTTTGAGAAGGCCTTTGACAGCGTCGACTGAAAGGTAATTTGGAAACTGCTTCAACACTACGAAGTGCCGCAAACCTTTATCAGCCTCATTCAACAACTATATGAAGACACCACATGCCAAGTAATTCACAATGGGAAGCTCAGTGATACTTTTGAAGTGAAGACAGGAGTGAAACAAGGTTGCCTACTATCCCCTATGATATTCCTGATTGTGGTTGACTGGATCATGCAGCAAACAGTGGGGAGCTGTGAGAAGAGGGGGATACACTGGCTGGACTGTGGAAAAGAACCTAGAAGACTTGGATTTCGCCGATGACTTGTGCCTGATGTCACATAAACTTGAAGATCTACAGGCGAAAACTAACAAGTTGACAGAAGAGGTGAGGCAGGGCAGCGAAGACGGGACTTCAGGTGAATATAGGGAAGACAGAAGTGATGAAGATACCGCACCAACAACAACAAACTCCAGTCACCATGAACGGGAGAAACTTAAAGGAAGTAACCTCCTTCACCTATCTAGGAAGCACTGTTTCAACTACAGGTGGCGGCACAGACGGGGATGTCAAAGTCAGAATCGGAAAAGCAAGACAGACGTTCGTTAGCCTGAAACCAGTGTGGGGATCTTCTGCACTCAGCATGTGGAACAAGGTGCGGATTTTTAACACCAATTCAGTCAAGTCAGTGCTTCAGTATGGTTCAGAGACTTGGCACGTTACGAAAGGGATTTCCAATAAACTACAGACATTCATCAACAACTGCTTACGCTCGCTACTGAAAATCAGATGATCAGAATAACAAGAATAAGCAACGAGGAACTCTGGCCTGCTAACGAACCAACCAAGAACCTATCGCTGAACAAATATGCAGAAGGAAGTGGAGATGGATTGGGCATACACTGAGAAGACCGACTGGGGACATCACGCGTCAAGCCCTCGAGTGGAACCCTGATGGAAAGCGACGAGTTGGGTGTCGGGGGTGAGGGTGACATGGAGGAGATGATGCGAGTAGGAAATGAGAGCTTTTGGGCTGTCGTGGAGCCAGGTTCAAAAGATTGCAGAGAAGAGAGTTCACTGGAAACGTGCTACTGAAGCGGTATGTTCCATTAGGAACTCAAGGGACTAATAATAATAGTAATAATAATAATAATAATAATACTGTGTAACAGACTAAAACTGAATTAAAATCTACCACAGTACCGAAGTTTTACTCCTATACTATGCGTAAGGGTTACAAGAAGTATACATATCTCATACTGACTGTTATTTATCGTTCACTTCATTTCTCTGAGTCTAAAAAGAATAGTAGGTGAAATACATGAATGTAACCTTGAATGTATTAAGATTGGTATACAGCTAGACTACTATAAATCACGCACTTATCTATTATATAGCTGGATAAATCGAGACAGTCGGATTGGAGTTTAAACTCATTAGTTGAAAACTGAACACTGGCTGTTAAATCAAAGCTTTTATCATCCTAATATATTGCTTCATTCACTAGTTAGGAATTCGATTTTATATATATTTCACAGCATCTCACATCCATCTACATGAATGTAAGGAATTGAGTTTTTAAAGAATATCCATCAATTTTTATATTATATTAACTGACTAAGTTATTTCAACGAAAGTTTCATCATTTCTTCAACATTAGCCAATCTACCTTTCGTCGAAAATACTGATTCTCTCACATTGACAGAATCAAGACACTTGGAAAAGATTATCTCATGGAATTGCTAAATATTACCACGTACAGTCTACATGTTACATCATTCTTTTTTTCATCTTATTATTTAGTCTGGATTACACGAAGACAAGTCAAATTCAACTCATCAACAAGTGATAACTAGCAGTACTAAAAGTCGAAGAGATAAAACTTCATTACAGAAATCAAAACGATGGGATCCTCTACGGGGTCGTAAGTGTTCAAAGAACCGATTAAAATTTATTAATAAACACCGTAAATTACACAAAAAGTAATGGAATGTTTTGAGAAAAATGATGTTGGATTTCAATATAAAACAGACAATATGTAAATTTCTCCTGTTCTGTATTCTACTTTTTTTTCTTCACTAAACAGAGAATATAAGGAATAAATTGTATAGTTTACCATTTTTGAGTTGGTTTATTTCAGTCTGCACATAATTGGAGTGGTACGCAAATTGGTTGATGATATCTCTGTCTATTTGTAAACTTTTGTTCCGTTTTAAGCAGCGGATTATGGCACCGTCGTAGTTCACTTCGACAACCATAGAATCAACAAAAAGGAGCTTGACATCTTTTCTTCAAAGAAGACTTTCCTTAAACTGTATTCGAAACTCGTGCATCTGATTACGTTTTGTGAATGCGAATACTATTTTTAACTGTAACCGAATATATGCGGAAAACAAGCAGACGGTGCAGGGGTAACAATCGTATATAAATTCATGGTTGGTAACTGCTGTATGGGGCGTGCTCTCAACATAAAACCTAATGGTTTGAAGAAAGATATCACAGTTTTACAAGGAATAAACCTGCCTTAGTCTATTGTACATATTCGCTTGGGGTTTACTAGTTAGTTATGATTGCATGTGAAAGTGAAAACTAGAAGTCGTTGTGTTTCGACGGGTTATGTAGCTGAAACATTAGGAAGGTGTTTACAGTTCTGAGTGGTATCTGGTTTCGTTGGGCAGTATGCTTCTTTCAACATAGGTATGCCTCTTATGAGGACAGCGACGACCAAAATGTAAATCACTACAAGATTGAAAAGGCAACTTTAGTGTCGTTTGGTACTTGTAAACTCCCGTTGGTATACTGGATGCCGATGCCCAGTGGGCTCTTATGTGGATTCCTTGATACTACCAAACTTATCGCTGTTCTGTAATCTGCTTGGTGACTTGCAGTAGGACACATGTTTCGCCCTATTTGTTACTCGTCAACTGGATGTACCCAGTGGTCTGATGAGTAACACTGGAGTTTACAGCGACGGACACGGGGTTCGAATCCCAGGGAGAATAACATCACTAGGTTGCAGTTACACCCAACTGTCACATCCTAGATGAGACGAAACTTACGTCCTGGATCCCATCGTTGGCTACCAAGCAGGTTATAAATTCAGTTTCGTTGATTGAATATGAGGAGTACAAAATATTTCCTAAGGACTAAATTAAGTGCCACAAATAAAAGGAGTAACAACAGTCTATTTCTTCTCATTTAATATATTTGTATAGCTTAAATAACACAAGGCATTGGCATCTACAAGTTACACGTAAATATGAGGAAATTGGACATTGGTTATGACTAAATAAACCAAGACTAACATTTTTGCAACAGTGTTTAACTTTATTAGCAGAAGTAGTAAACTCATCACTATCCTGTTTGCATGATTTCAAATAGCTCTAATGAATATTGCAGATGGAGGACTGTCCATCAAAAAGTTCTGCAGATTCCTACTGTTTCATCTCTACACAGATCCCTAGCACTTGGACAAAATGAATTAGGTATACTTTGAACGTTCTAAATCAACCCTTCTTTTCCTGCTTCCATTCTGGTCATATTATATAATAAAGTAAAAGTAATTCAATGAGTCATTCTTAAATTGAACAATCCCATTCAAGTATATATTACATTTACTTGGCCACATAAAATGAATATTTCCAAAGGCATGTTCATTTTTCATTCAGGATCTGGATATTTGGAAAGGTTGCGTAATATAACACAGTTCGAGTAATTGAATGCAGTTCAACTTTCAAAACGTAGATTGGTAAGGCAGAAGGATATATCATACAGAGAGAATAGGTAGTCGGGCAGTAGGGGGGGAGAAAGAAAAAAAGCTTTTCCATTGGTTAAACCTTTTCATAAGCCCTATGACAGGACAAACTTCTTTATGTGTAGAGTTCAAGCTTCAAAATACGAATCTCCATGGCTTCCACAGTTTCAAGATGTTTTATGCTGACAGCTTTCACAAGACTCCCATGTATTCTTTAGATAACACTGAAGTTAGATTGTAGGGTTCCCCCGCCTTCCTCTTCTGTGCAGAATCGATCGAATGTTCTTAAATTGAAATACAAGAGAATTTTTTTCCCTTGTAAAACCAGAATGTTACATGTTCGACGATGCGTTTGGGGAGCAGATGCTAAATGCGATCAACATATCTTGCTCCCCACCATGAGTATTAGTGATGAAAGCATATATGGTCTCCCTTCATCTGTGAAACGACACTAGGTTATTGTTACGGATCCTCGATCTGAATGTAACTGAATAAAGAAGATTGGAGTAATCAAGCCAAGTATGTCTGACAGCACGTTCTTCTTTCGAACTCAACTTTACAGTTTAAGCTTATTACCTTCATTTAACACTTAATGGGAATATGTTGGCACTTCAAGATATGTGAATCAAATTGTCAGCAAAAGGAACTTCAAGATTTCGCATTTTCAATACGTCATATCGTCTCATCCTCTGTCTCAACCCTGTTTTTTCAAGCTATTCCTTCGATTTTTATCTCCTACTGCTAGTTACTAATGACTCATGTCCTTATTCCGCGTCTGCTCTTACTGATTTCCGCCTTACCAGTATAACGGCTACCATTAGTAATTCCGCATTATATATCTTTTGCCTCATCTGATCGAAGATATTACATTTTATTACGATAAAATCTGTTTCAAGTTCCCATTAAAAGTTTAGTTTATATACTGTCTGCTAACATTTTACTACTTTTTATTACGATTAAAGTAATTTTTTCTTAACATCTTGTATCTTGATTGTTCATCACTTGAGTTCTTCTCAGCCTGAACTCCTGCAACATTTGAATAAACCAGAATTAGCTTTAAGTATACCGAAATACCGTTTTACAGTGATCTCTGATATACATTACAAAGAATGGAAAATATAACACCTCTGAAACTTCCCAAACCTCAAGTTTGTTGTTCATGAAAAATTTAGTAAAGGAAGATGGATATGGCATTTTTACTTGTGCTGCTTGTAGACCAACAGCTAAGTTAAAGAAAATGGTCGGGAAAAAAAAGCAGCAATGATCGTTGTGACCATAATTATAACGTGCTACTTATTGATACACTACCCACTAGGCAGCTCTTCAAGAATAATTTATGGTAGATTTCAGTTAGGACTATTAAATGTCGTACAAAGCGTGATGCAGATGATTTGAAAAAAGTTGTTAAGTGATTCTCTCTAAGTTTTAATACTTCTGGAGAGAACAGATCAAGTTTGGAAAATGCTAGTTCCTAGGCGAGTTCATCTTCTCGCAAAAACAGCATCCATTCTTCTTTTAATAAAGAAATGGGTCGCAGTTCTTGACGACAATGTTTGCACTCATCGAGAGAAAATTCTTATGTTAGTCTTCAAAGTTGATTTCAGTGAAATAAAAACTGATAAGTGTTGCACATTCAATAATTTTGATAAATCGCAGGGTGTTTAAAAATGAATAGCCCACTAAGAAGTCAGTAGCAATATTAGAGCAAGTCATTACAAAATAGCAACTGAAAAACACAAAAAACTCTGTATTCTTTCACAGAATTGAGAAAAACTGGGACGTAAAACAACGAATGCATTTTGAATGCGATCATAGCAGAAATTAGTTTTCTTTCCTACAGGTTTCACTGAAGAAATACACAGAAGTCACTCTACTTAAGATATATGGACTTGGAAAAAAACACAGTAAGATTCGGCTGAAAACTTAAAGTTTCGTTTAAATCGATAGGTGAGAGAAGCCTAATTCTTAGATGTGCTTTTAGTTCGCAGTGAACTTGAATTTTACTTGTAGATACTTGTCATTTACTGATAGAAGAGTTGAAGGGTCGATTTTTGGGAGATGAGAAGACTTAAACTTGATGAGTTCTTATACGGTGAGGTAATTGTATCAGATCGACTTCAGTAGGTCGAAAATCACCTAATTGAATTTATTGGCTTTTACACAAATACAAATGTTTATTGTGAACACAGAAATCAAGTTAAGCATTGAAGTAGACTTTTTTAAAAATTCAGTGTAATTGCCATCTCAGAAATATGCTCATATTCTCGTACAAGTGACTAGATTTCAATTAAAGAAATTCTCTTTTTATGGCCGATAAGCGACTTTCCAGAAATTTCGGTGTCACTTCTTATTTAAGTAATACCTTTTCTGTAAAAATTAAACAAATGTGAAGTAAAAATCTGATCAGCAGTCGGACTTCGTAGCTCAGCTGGTAGAGCATCGTGCCGGGAACCCGATGGTCACCGGTTCGAATCCGGTCACGGTCGAAATTTTCATCTCATCTTCAATCATCACCCAGTATAAATGTTAGTCTATCAGACCACGGCCATCTCAGACAGCCAAATGATAAAGTAAGATGTGTCAACTATCAATTTTCTGAATTAAATGCAAGGAATAAGATATTGAGTCGTTATCTGTTGTATCCACCAATGCAAAGATGAAAACTTCCTACTAGACAAGTCGGCCTTTTCAACGAACTGATTCAAACGTCTAGTTGTAGGCGACCTCAACAGCTGATTGGTACAAAGTAGTAACAGAAGCATCGAATAGCTTATTTAATTACATATTATTGGACTATAGACTCATTCAGGACAATAATGCAACCATTAATATGCCAACAAGTACTCCTTCTAGTAGTTCTAAACTTATTCTTCCCTCTTGACGATAATATAGGCATCATCTAGCATCTTACACCTCTTGTCATAATTGATCGTGAAATGTCATTGTAAGCTCATATCGCAGATAGACCCAATGTGAATAAGGTGTATAACGTAGTCATTCACTCGGATACCTCTTCTGAATAACAATCCAGAGGCCGCAGTTGAAGCTAGATGTTTTCCTTCAAGCAGAATCGACATTATGGCGTTACTTTCCACGTAAGTGGCAATGGTTTCCTCGAACTCCTCCTAGAATATTGACTTCAGTCTTAGTATCGGTCTCTAATTTGACAGAGACTGTTAGAGCTTCAGTTGCGGACAGGCATGATCATAGTGTGCTTCTAGTCTTTTGATAG